AAAAAAAAAATCCCGGCCATCCCGAAATTGCGAAAAAAAATCCCGCTCATCCCGGAATTGCGGAAGAAAATCCCACCGGGATGGCCGTATCCCGCCGGGACACGGCCATCCCGTCGGGATCCCGACGGGATCCCGGAATTATTTTTGGTGGGGACTACTAGGTAGAGGCTCATTGTTAGGCATCTGTATCTAATGATTTAATAAAATCATTAATGATACTTAGAATAAGGCCTACTGGATCTTTCAGTCTTTCAAACGTAATTTTTTCAATTTCATTAATTTCATTCTGAAAGATATCATAAGATGACGATAATTTATAATCCCTATCTATCATTGTCAGCACAAGGTTCCTTTTGTGTTTCATGTCCACATGGCTTTCATAATGCAGTAGTAGGCCTTTGTTCGTGGCTTTCCTGTGAACCCTTGTTTCAAGTGATGATGAGGAGGTTTTAGAGATAACCATTCCCAGAAAGTTGATGGAGTTATTGGATGCAATTTCCATGGTAAAGTTTATTGATGGATGCGTTTATTGATGAATCCCCCCCCCCCCGGGGGAGCGGGGCCCTGAAAAATATGAAAAACTAGGGGTTTCAAGCGCTTACTTAATCAATATTAGAGTTTTTATGTAGAAAATAAATATGCCTACAGTAATGTTTTTCTCTCCGACAAAGTGTGGATTTTCTCCCTGACCGGGGGAGCTCTCCCGATTGGCGCCACCACTCGGTGCTGAGATAAATTCCCCCTCACCCACTATACCTTTAAAAAAAAGCCTTTCCCTTAAATAATGATGGGCTTTTTGATATCATTAGTCCTTCCATCACTCACTAAACTTTTTCACCGCCTAAGGCATCATCATTCTAAAAATGCAGGAAAGTGTATATCCCAGCCAGAACACCCATCTGTTGACACCTTAATTTCCCTCTTGGAAGATTCAGGAGGAAACAAACCAAAGTACCAAGAGTAATATAAATGAAATTATAGATGAATCCCTTGTATTATCGGGGGACACTTCGGGGTCAAAAGGTTTACTCTTGGGGGGTGCGGTGGCACTAAGCAAATATGCGAAATTGAAAGGCATTTTAGCATGTCAGTCATACAATGAGGATATATTCTTTGATTTCAGTTGATCTATTAATTAAACTAAATTTTACCGTATACAATGCAAATAGGAGTAGGCCGAATAATGTAATTAAAACAATAACAGTTGATTGTTCCAGATTCTAGTGCATAGATACAGATGGGTGAGGGTTATACAGTATAGATTTCAATGGCGGATTCAATGCAATGCCAGCGGAACATGATTTGTGGTGGGGGGGGGGGGGGGGGGGGGGGGGGGGGGGGGAGGCACTGTAAGATGAATGGGAATATGAATCAGGGGCGGATGTGTGTACACATACATAAGCCTAACAAAATTGAGTATATGCTTACGTAAATGCCAGCGGAACATGATTTGTGGTGGGGGGGGGAGGGTGGCGGGGGGGAGGCACTGTAAGATGAATGGGAATATGAATCAGGGGCGGATGTGTGTACACATACATAAGCCTAACAAAATTGAGTATAGGCTTACGTATTCTTTTTACATGAATCGATAATTCCCAAAAAGAAATGGGGGTGGGGTTTACCCCCGGGGAAATTTTGATTCTAGATGGCGGGAAACGAGCTTTCCCGACTTCTGAGGTGTCATTTCAATGATTTTCAAATTCTTTAAAATTCAGGTTTTCCCCCTCTTGAAAACGATTCTATGAATCGATAAACCCCAAAATGAGCTTTCTCGACCTTTAAGTTAATTCTTCAGTTAAATTGTTCTCATTCTTATTACAGAGGCCTGTTATGTGTGACGTACTGGCATACATACGTCAAAGGCCTACTTATTCTTTTTTCAATGAATTCTTGATAAACCCCAAAAAGAAAAGGGGGTCGGGGGACTTTCAAGCATACTTTAGTATTTAGCATAATTTCCCGGTAGTCCTCCTAGCATAATTTAATTTGCATCGCTGGCAAATCGCTGGTACGCTGTCGGTCACAGGGTTACCATTTGGCCTTTTTGACGGCTAGATTCGTCAAATCTGGCCGTATAAAAATTCGCCTGTCCTTAACGTTTAAAAAGTCTCGGCGAAACTATATTTGGCCGAATTTTGTGAACATTTTTTTTTTCAATATAGGTCTAATATAACGTAGACTTGTTTTGGATATGTTGTTAATTTTATACAAAAGCTTTGATTCTAATCGTGTACCTTTACTTAATTAAACGTTCGTAGTCGTACTCGCACCAAACAATAAATGTATGCTTTGGCCGAGTTGACGTAAGAGAGTTTATTATTTAAAAGATTGTAGCAGTTACATTTAATAATTTAACTTGTTCGGATGAAATTTATTTATTGACGTTTATCCTCGTTTAAAACTTTATGAAGACATAACAGTTTATTGCAAGTTTGTACCATGTGTTTCTTTGTCTATGTTCTAGTCTAGTTTCTATCTCTATTGGTTGAGAATTGAATAAAAAAAAATAAATTGTATATGCGCTGTGGTGTTCTTTATGTGAAGTGCCATGTAAATGCTCGTGTGATCATTCGGGTCCAATGACACCTGCAATTTCAAGAGTGTTGGTGAGACGTCCTCGAAGTTACTCTGGAGTTAGGTTGTATATGAGAATCATGAAGAAGATAGTCCCGATAGCGACATTGATTTATTGTTTAAGTATGGCAACAATAACATTCAGAGGCGAATTTAGGAAGTTTTAGATAAAAAGTATTTATTAAAGTTCTCATAAGTTTGTGTTACCTTACTATGTAACTTTCTAATTAAAGAGAGCCACGAATTTGTCACTGAAGATTCGATAACAAACAGGCCCTTAATTATTGCTATAGATGGACTACAATTTACCTTAATTAATACATTTAAATAAAAAATGTAGACCGATCATAATAATGTGACTATAAATAGGCCTACATGCTAGCAACTATAAGACATATAGGCCCATTTAATATTATGATGTAGCTGGGCATTTAATTATGGTGATTAATTAATTATCAAAACAAAAACAGTGAAAGATTAACATTGTTCTGTGTATATCGTTTTAATTTCTTCAATTTCAAACAAATGACAGTTGATTTTCGTGTAATACAGTATTTGTATGTTAAGTGAATATTATGTACCAATGTTGCCTAATTCTAATTGGATTAAAATCTGGCCGAATTTTGGCCGATATCGAAAAAAAGTTTGGCCGAATTTGGCCGTGAGATGGCGTGTGTTTGGCCATGGTTTGGCCAAGGCGTGAAGCCTCCTCCTGTCGACTATCGCTAGCAACCCTGGGGCGGGGTCACACTGGCCAATAAATAGTGGAACCAAAGATCGATATTTGGTGGAACTGCCGTCCCGTTTACACTATTCAGGCTCGGAGGTTAGAATGTTTGGAGGAAGTAGGAGAAGTAATTTTTATGTATAAGGTTATTGTCATGCACCTTGATGTTGTTGATTATAGACAAATATTAGAAACTTTAAAGTCTGTAATGTTTGGTTTAGCCTAGCCTAGGCCTAGGCCTATGCTCTAACAGGGGCGTGCGGCGACGGGCGAGACCTTTTCAAAACAAAATACTTGAGCTAGGCTAGGCCTAAGGAATACCGGCCTAAGTACTTTAGGTTATGCATTATACATACTATCCTAGGCTACCTAGGCCAGATGTTTTACTTCACATCAAATAGGCTAAGTATGCCTATTTTTGGCCCTACGCCTTTTCCACGAGTCGGTAGACATCTTTAAGTGATGACAAACAACCCAAGTAAGTGGTGCGTAACCAACAATAACATAAATAGGATGGTCTAGATTTGAGGCTAAATTCTTGTCGACATGTTATCTAAAAATTCAGAACTCCATAATGGAGGGTCGTATCACATATATTTTTCTGGAAAATGTTCTCAAAAGATTATTCTACACCACTATGATTGAAAAAAAAATTGAAAAATGTTTTTGACCCCATTTTTTTAACAGATGAGTTGGATATTTTGAAAGACAAAATATCAAATAACATTGCTGTGTTGAAGATGAATAGGCCCTAGCTTGCCATGGAAATTTTAACCTAAAAATCATTTTATTCACCAACATGTCTGTGGCATAACTAGCTGGGGAACCAGTCAATTCGAGTAGATGCCACTTTGAGCGCATGCTAGTTCAAGCGGAAAAAAGATTCACTTGTGCGAACAACAGCCTGTGTGAGTTATGTACGAATTACTTTAAAATTTCCTATTTTGAGCTAATAATTTGCATTCGGACGAGGCTCAAGCCTTGCCTGGGAACCGGGGGACCGGGGGTGGGTGGAGATACGCACATCCCAAAAATTACTTGTGCCCCTACATTCGCCCATCCCCAAAAAATCACTTGCAAGTAGTTGAGAATCACCTTATTTTGCGACTTTCACCCCGCAACTACTTCACCTAAGTAGCGCCACCAATGACCACCCCCATTTCAAGACTAGATACGCCACTAGAGCCAGGGGAAAATATCTGGTGGGTTCCGTGGGAGAAGCCAGCTTTATGGATAGAAAAATTTGTATTTAATTGATTTATAAGGTTAACAATTTACAATTAAACATACAGTACCTACGTTCATAAAAATAATGTTTAGTCATTCCTTTCGGAAAAGATCACTTAATCTCTTGTTAGGTCTTCCTCTTTTTCTTTTGTGTCCGTATGGTGTCCATACTGTTAACTTTTTGGCCCACCTGTTATGGTCCATGCGAGCTACATGGCCTGCCCACTCCCACTTTGTTATACAGTTTTTTATACATCTTTAATCTTTTTTGCCTTTCTTATAACTTCATTTTTCCACTTATCAAGTCTACTGATACTGATATTTATTTATATTTATTCTTTATAAAGCCTTCCTTTCCTAATTAACTATAATTAATTATTAATTTAAATATGAAATTATCTGTCAAGAAATATATATTTTTAAGTTTCTTTATTATTATTAAGTGAATTTGTTTATATTATTAAACTCAATTTGTTATTAGGCCTAAACTCATATATTTTTATTTTTTTATTTTTCATTTATTTATTAAATAATTATATTTTGGACTGCTGTACTGTATTTCGTTTAGTTGTTTAAACATTTCTTCATTTCTTCTTTAGTAATTGTATTTATAGTAATATTTTAAGAAATATTTATTGATTTCTAAGTTTATTTTAGTAATTCATTTTAATGTTTGAAGTAGTTTATTAACTGATTCATCCTTGCATTATAAATCAACAATTGATTAACTCACTTATTTAATTATTTATTCTTTGTCAGTTTAAAAATCTATTTTTGCTGTATATTTCTTAGGTACCCAACTTCAGCTGAGTATTCAAGTATAGTGGAGCAACTACTTACAAATATCAACAAATATCATCCGATACCTCAAATCAGAAAGGTAGGCCTACAGTTTATTATTACTGTATGCATGCATTCTTAACCCATTAGCACCTACAGTATAGTTGTAATGCATTGTAGTCAGAGAGTTTGCTGTATATGAAAGAAATTAGACTCTACTACAAATAAACTGTAATATTTTTTTTTATTGTTGAAAATGTTCCATTACAAGTTGTTTTTATTTTGATGCATATTAAATAAACATTCCAGTGACACAAAATATTTTGACCTTTGACTTTGAAATTGTGACCTTTGACCTATCATAGTTAACATTTCATCCAAAATTTGCAATTTTCTCTGAATTTATAATTATATAAAATATTTTGAATTTGCATACTTTTTACTAAATTGTATAATTATTTTAATTTTATTGAGTTACATCAATTCTCAGACCTTTGATTTTAATATATTGACCTTTGACCTATTCAACTTGCCAACACGATCGGCGCCGGGTATAACTAGGCCATAATTTACGATCGGTTTTCTCGGCTTTGTACATATATATATGTGAAAATTCAACTCCCATTTTCAGCTGTTATTCGTGTTCAATATCTTATAAATAGTACGAAGTCCTCCAGAAAGAAAGTTGACAAATAGGTCTAGCCTAGGCCTGGCCTAGTTCAAAGAGAAGAAACGTCACGAACGAGTGTTGAATGTAATTTTTATCTACGCACAGAAAATAGGCCCACGTCGCTGAACAATGAATGGTTTATATTAGATGGTATTACCCAGTGTACTATTGATGAAAGTGGACAATAATCTTCTATTGTTTCTTGTCCTCTTCAAAAACTGTATGCCACATTGTTGCTTTGCAGCTGGGCACGGGGTTAAAATTTCTTCTGAGACACCGCAGTAATGCGGTTTGTTTACGAAAGCAGAACATGTGCTCAGAAGATGTGAACGACTGAATGGGTTTGAGTTTGGGACGGGTTTTGAACTGAACACATAACTGTATTTGTTTTATTATTTTATACATACTGTACTGCATTGGTATCATTATCATCATCATTGTTATTAGTACTAGCCCTACTGTACGGCTTTATTTCATAAAAGAAATAAAGATGTCACAAAGTTCAGTTCAATGCAAGCGGATATAAATAGAAAAAAAGTTCCATATTGAGTTCAGTCAGGTTCAATTGAATGTAATTTTTATTTACGAACAGGATCGAAATAGGCCCACGTACGCCGTCACTAAATGGTTTATTCGCTGCAAATGTTACCTAATATTAATTAATATGTAGACAATAATAGTTTCTAAATAATTATTTTGTCTTTCTCTTCAAAAACTCCGATCGGGCACGGTGTAATAATTTCTTCACTGACTGCTGTAATGCGGTCTGTTTACAAAGGCAGAACATGTGCTTCTCTCGTCGTCACCGAATGTTTCATTCGCCACAAAACGTTACCTACTATAAATTAAAATGTAGACAATAATACAGTAGTTTCAAAATATTTATTTTATATTTCTCTACAAAAACTGTATAATTATTAATACGATTTCGGATTTGGGCACGGTGAAATCATTTCTTCACTGACAGACTGCTGCAATGTGGTCGTTTACGAACATAAAACATGTGCTTTCCAGTCGGAGAGCCGTGTTGGAGATTTTGACGGTTATTGCAAAATTTGTAACACGGCGTGATGTCATTGATTCTAGACGCCCTCACACGGCAGAAAGGCTTTTAAGTTTTACACATTTTCATTAGCATAAAGTGTATGCTATCTCATAGCTGTTGAATAAACATTGAAAAGCGAAAGGTGCCCAAATATGGTAAAATCAGTTCCTAATATAGCCTAAGAATCCTTACATGATTGAATTTTCTGATTATTTTTTGTACAAGTTGCGCGTTCCAACGTTTTTGCCAAGGTTGTGTGACAGCCGTCGAATCATTACAATTTTGACTGCTATTTGATTACAAATTTCTAATTAGTAGCATTTTCATCCCATACAGCGATTTTAAATATACATACCATAAGTCGAAAAAGTAAGTGTTTATTTTGATATAAAAATCGGTCTTGTACCCTATTTCAGTTTTCCACGACAAACGTTTAAAGAAGGATCATAATTTCACGTGTTCTGCTAATACACGGCGGTGTTCGATGCACTGCCGCGTGCTGTGTGGCTGTGGTGTGAGTGTTTGCACTCAAGGCCTATACTAGGCCGTGAGTGCATAAACTACAGTACTGTACTATATACTAGCTGACAGCCCTTTTTGGAGGAGGCAAACTAGGAAAACCAAGCTTATGTTTTTATAATAAAAAATCTGTTAAAAAGTGGCTGTATGGAAGACAAATGTCTGCATTAAAAAAGCAACAGGGAATTATTATTATTGTATATTATTAATATTAGGCCTAATATGTATAGGCCTATAGTTAAAAAAAGGCCAGGCTATTTATGTAAATAGATAAAGTATAGTTACAACTTCAATCAATTCAACATCATGATACAATTTTGGCCAGTTACTTTTGTCTAATTTGATTTTATTTTCAGTATACAAATTTTTTTTTTTAAATCTAATATAATATTTCTATTTTTTAGGAGTCACAATTGGCTGGAAATACATATTTTTTTCTAATTCTTTAATACTCAGCCCATCATGGAGATGTGAATACACCATATTATATATTGATGGATGTGTTTTATAGTGAATGGTACATGTATACTGAAAGTGGTGCATAATTAAATAGGCCTATCTATAGTCATCATGGTTGGTAATAATGCTGTCTCTTATACACATCTAGATGTGTATAAGAGACAGTGGCCTGCCCACTCCCACTTTGTTATACAGTTT